CCATCCTGGCCATGGTAGTGTCTGTTTGTGTTCACCCCGACGTACGTCAGAGGTGCTGGTCCCTGACTTGGTGGTGGGCGCAGGCTTCTAGCGCAAGGCCTGAGCTCACACTCGGATGATAGTCAGAGGCTCAGAGTGGTGGGACTCAACTCGTGGGGTTTGAGGGCCAATGGTCGATGGCGTTGAGGGGCCGTCAAGGACGGATGCTGTGGTTCCACGCCGGAGCACGAGTCTCTGTTGCGTTAGCATTTGGGCGATGAAGGAAGGGGCACGAAGATCATCTTCGATTCGTGAGGTCTCACAACACTCAGACAACGTCGCCCACTGACACTGACTTGCAGAATGACATCGGAGGCGTACTCATTCCCCGGCGAAATTTCCCTGCCCGACGAAGCGCTTGATCCAGTCACCCCAGTCACCCACATGCGGCCAAGTCACCAAAAGACTGGAGGTGGCGTTGAATCTCGATCACTGCCCCCAATCCATCCCTGTCGCTCGCAAGTAACCACCACAGCTTCCTTGCCTTTGATCATCCTCTGGCGCAAATCACAACCAACCCCAGACGCGTTGCATTTCCTTCTGCCCGTGCCGTCCCACATTGATTCCGGCAAAATGAACCGGGTGCTGATCAGGTTTGGCTGCACCACCCATAACAACAACGAAACGAATTTATCCTCCGATCCGCCCGTTACGTTCCAGGCGGTGGGGCTTGAAAGAGGGCAAGCGTGCGTTGACGGTGGGAAATACGAAGGAACCGCTTACATGCAAGATTGCTCGCTTAGAAAGTATAGACACTATTCAAGGTGCAGGTTGAGGATTGCATCAAGGCATGATTCATTGGATATTCCCTGGCACCATCGGAACACCACGCAGGACAAGATACCTTCACTGTCAAGCCAGAAGAGTGTAGAGAAAGATACGTTGAGCAGTCAAAACACAGTGCTTTTGGTGAATGACAGATATCAAATTAATTGACTATCCACTCCTTCGAGAGTCCTCCCAGAGCTTTTGGCCATTCTGCTAGTTCCGTTTGATTCAACTCTACAGACGTGCAAGGCCGACAGACTCGCCGGGAGCGTGGTATGGCGGAATCTTCATCTCCAGAGCTGCACCACTGTAGCCAAGGTCCTCAGCAGCGAGCACGGCACACTTCTCGCCAATGAGCAGAGCGGTCTATGATTTCTGTTAGTAATGTTGTGAGAGCAGCGACGTTGAGATAACTTACCGAGAAGGTGTTGCAGCCAACGTTGTCTGGGCAGACCGACAAGTCGGAGACCTTGAGGTTCTTGACACCATGGACGTTCAGTCTTGGATCCAAGACACCATGCTTGACAATGCTGTTGCCCTCTCTCGGAGCCATAGAGCAGGTTCCCAAGCTGTGCCAGGTGGTTTCGCAGTGTCGCTGGACCCATTTCTCAATGTGAGCAACTGTATCATCGGTCAGTACAATGTAGGCCTTCTTTGCAGGCAAGGAGAAACAAACCATCTTCCTTGCTGTACTTAAGCGGTGCTCGGTAGTTCTGTTTGTTCGAGTTGAGCCAGCTGACTTCGGGGACCTCACCAGCGTCGAGGGGCATGGTCCAGCTACCGTGTTGGATATTGGCAGTGATGTGGTTGGGTCCGGCATATTGGTTACGGGTGATGAGGTCCATGTCCAGAGCTCGGGCGGGCGAGTCGTGCTTGAAGTGAGGATGCATGCCCGTCACTTCACCAGCATAGGCTTGCATCCGACGAGCCGTCTCACGAGACTGGATATAGCCCCAGACCATGGGTGCCATGTCACGCTTGTCGTTCATGAAACCGGCATCGAAGTCTGGTGCCTCGTATGGGTCTGGAGACACGATGTGGGTGAAGCCACGAGAGAAGGGGTATTCCAAGAAATGGAACATGGTGAAGAATTTACCGGCCGGCATGTCGAGGTGGTCACCGAACCACCCAGCAATCACGCTGTAATGCATGACGGGCTTGTCGGGCTTGTTCTTGAAGTAGCTGTCCCAACCGCCCTCGGTGACGAATTGGGGAGTAGGCCACTTGCTCATCTCCTCAAGTTCTTCCGCAGTGGGTCGTGACTTGACGCCGGCATCAATGCCGTTGGTAGCCAAGGGTCCAGTTCCCTTGATGTTCCATTCTTCAAAGACAGCCTTCTGCACTTCCGGAACCCCTCGGACAAAGTCATCAAAGGACTCAGTGTCTGGCTTAGCACGGTAAGTGGCGAAGTGCAGGTAATGGTCCTGGAAGTTGAGACCAACGCCTGGAAGGTCCACAACGCACTTGACGCCAGCCTTGCGAAGCTTCTCTGGGTCACCAATACCAGACCGTTGCAGGACAAGAGGTGAGCTCAGAGTACCGCAGCTGACAATAACGAGTTTGCGAGCTTTCCAGAACTTGCGTTCCGGCTTCGATCCATTAATCGGCTTTGTAGGCACAGTGATGACACCGACTGCTGTGCCGTTCTCGATTACCACACGGTCCACCTTTGTGTTGCACTGGAGATGGAGGTTCTGGTACTTGGCACGAGTAGCATGGATGTATGCATGAGCAGCATCAGAACGTCGGCCGGTATCACGGTTGATCCACTTGAGCCAGTGTTCAGCACCATGACCAGTCACAAGGTCCTGGAGGTCGTCCGTGACTGGGAAGCCCTGGGACTCGGCAGCTCGGAGGAAGTCTTGCATGATGGGGTAAGTGTAGTTGCCAAAGGAGACCTTGATCGGTCCTTCGAAGCCGTGGATGTCTCGGTTGTTGCAGGCTCGTTGGTAGGTTTCATGCTTCCTCATCAAGGGAATGAGCTCCTTGGTAGTCCAACCCTTGGTCTGAAAGTCATCGTAGTCACTTGCCGAGGCCCGGGTGTACATCATGAAGTTGATACTGCTACCTCCGCCGAGGATGTGGGCGCAGGGAACGATTGCACGACGTCCATCGAGCCATTCGGAGGGGCGAGAATAGTAGAAAGTAGCCGTCTTCGAGTCGAGCTTCATGTTCCTCGGGTAGATACCCGGGCGGTAAACCCATGGGTTGTTGAGGTTACTCTCTCCGGCCTCAATCAAGAGGACCTGGAGGTTGTGGTCCAAATTGGCCAGACCTAGAGAGCCGTCAATGATGATCTAGTCAGGGTGTTGTGCACAGGTATGGCTCACGTCCAGCTGGCACACATCCTGAACTGCCACCTCCGCAGACAATGATATCAACTTCCTCGGGGATAGTCATGATGGCAGTCTGTTCAATGAACGACGAAACTGTTCTGCGTCTCTCCACACAAGTGAATAATTCCTTTGCTCAACCAGGAGCCGGCTGGGGAGAAAAGAAAGAGAGAGACAGAGTGCGAGACGTCTCAATATAAGACTTCTGAACGTCAGTTCCTCTCCGCCTCTTCTCGGAAGACTGGATGAGAGGGGGAGAGAGAGGGGTTCCATGCAAACGCGTCTCCGGTAACTCCACAGGATGAAGGAGCGGCCATGGTCATGATTGAGCATCCTTGCAAGTTGATCATCTGGAGCAGACCCGGAGACGAGTTGATTTGCCTTCGATATGCGGGGTCAGTGCAATCACATTGAGGATGACGAGGATCATCACCTCAGCTTCTAGGCAATGACAAGGAGCCCGCATTGCGTCGAAGCGAAGCTACCATCCGCAAAGTATGAGACAACGGGTCCTTCCAGAGCTTCGGGTGTTGAGAATGTTGAGTCAACAGAGGTGTATGTCGACGAGATGCATGAAGAAAGGGGGCGGTTGAAGTTCAGGCTGACCAGGATATTTCATCTGCCTCCACCCAAGGAGGCTAGCAGCAGCGAGCAACCTGCGAGACCAGTTACGGCAGTTCCAACGAGAATCCCCAATCCCTTCTGGTATCTCTGTCTTGACGACTTCGTATCATGAAAGGTCCGAGCGATGGCCCCTGCATAAAGAACGGGAACAAGTAACGTCGCTTTTGCACGAGGTACCACACAGGAAAATGCACAGCACACACGCCGACGTCCAAAGGACAAGAAAATGCCCAAGACTAGCGAGGCGATATGCCGTTAGTCCCTCCACCGGATCAGCGCCCCACCCGGATAGCTTGGAGAGGGGGCGTCCAATGTAAGAAACGCGGGGAAGGTCCACTGGCAAGCGGCACCGCATAGAACATGGGAAGTGGCGGGTAGGGGATGGGAGAATCCTGCATAAGCTGGAACGCCCGAATCAAGTGACGGAGGCCGCATTGCTGGAGGTTGCGTCGATGGAACAAGCCAAAAGGAAAACGGCTAAACCCCGTTTGCGGGGGAAAGGGTAGGCTAAACTGTGTCCAGAGAGATATCAATTGGGGTAAATGCATGACCGGCCCTATCAACATAGAGAAGGTTGCACTCAGAGGTTGGAGATTCGAGTATTGGCTGCTTGGCCCGGTCTGGATTTACTCGAAAGAGGCGGAGCGAGCGTTGCACAGGCAGAATACCCAGCAAGTAGCTCCACGTCTCAGCTCGACAAGAGAACAAACAAGACCACGGCTGTTCTTTTTTTCTGAGAGGCGTGCAGGGAGTCGTCTTTCGGGCTAACGCAAAGTCTGGACCGACCTGCTTGGAGCTCCCCTCCCGAGTTTCTCAAAATAGCGGGTTGAATATAGGGCCCACCAGCAACGGTTCGGGGTTTTGGTATATTGCTCTCCGGGGCCAACTGGCCTCGCACTGTTTGAGGACATAACCCCAACAGGACAGACGAACAGGAATTTTGGTGTCCGAGGGCCTTTTTCTCCTTCGCAGATCAAGCCTAGAGCGTTTTCTGTAGAAATTGCTCGAGGTATTGTTTTTTTAACATCTGGAAAATCAGGTAAGCTAGCATCGACGGTGCTTAGAACCTTTGTGCGGTCTGCATATGCGGAGATCTCGCCCGTATTTATGCCGAACGGAGCGACCGGGCACACGCCGCATCTGGTTCCGACAGATCGCTGCGATACTGATGCGGCAAGACAGCTCAGCCTGTATCCCTGCTTATCAGAACTTGGACCTGTTGCGTTCTAAGGAATCTCATGTTGCAGGGTGCGGTTGACCCTTGCCGAGTTGTCGCCGTAATTGGTCTGCAGCGACCTGGATCTCAAGAATTTTGCCTATCCCTCGCTTCCAATTTTCCTGAAGAGTCAAAAGCTCGCCTTTAGACTGTTCTTGGGTAGCTTTCCGCGCTCTGTTGATGTTTTCGGTCTCAGATTTAAGCCCGGCAAGTTCGCTTTCGAGGACTTGGAGGACCTGTTCAGTCTGCGAATTGCCGATAAGCCAAGCGTTCTTGCCAAATTCGTCCAGCAGCTGGAGGTTGGTGTGTCGATCTGACAAGAAAGTGGTCAAGATGTACGCGTTTCGCAGCACCTCCTTCATTGTGGCCTGATCACTGTCACTCGACGGCTCGTCCGGGGCTTCGTAGCGCGACACGTCTATCCCTTGCTGGCGGGGCTGACCCGCAGCTACCCGGTTGATTTCTTGACGGAATGTTTCGGAGAAGTTGACTGCGGGAAGAGGGGCGAGAGAGGGGTGAGGTGTATTGAGATAGTCCTTGGGGAGGTGTCGAGCAATCGCAGCTTTGGCCCTCTCGCGCTCGGCATCCGTGATGTCGGGGTCGATGTCTGAGGAGAAAAGCGGTCAGCATAAGTCAACAATCTATTCATCAGGTGCAGAATCACTCACAGGGGAGAGAGTCGTGAGACTCCCATATTAGTGCCATGGCTGGTTGTGAGGAGATGGACTGGCTGGGTCAATGCGAATTCATTGACTGCGATAAAGATTCCATGATGCCAAGCCCATACTTTGCCGCTTTTGCACAGAATCGTGTGTTATTGGCCAGCCTTGCCTCTGCCAGCTTACTGTAAGGCTGTCGTCGATCTTTGATGATTCGTCAGGATGACGACATTGTTGTCCGTTTCAGGCGGAGCCTCGCGGCCTGGAAAGAATCAATCCAAAATTTCTACAGCTCTTCAACGGTGGTCGCATGGTCCACTTTATACTCTGGTATCGTCGATCAGGGCTTCAGAGCGGCCATGTCGAGACGATGACCAACTCCGAAAACTCCCTATTTGACCCGAAATAACAGGGGGACTGTAACATCAAATTCCCGTCGTAAGCTGCAAAGATATCGCAATCCAAGGCAATACGAAAATGGCACGGAGAGCGCTAGCCCCATTTCTATGCTTGCTCTGTGTTGTTCTTACGGCGACCCTTCTGTGGTTGGGCTTCCTTGCTCACAGCCCGTCTCAAAAGCTGCATTTGTTTCCTCCCAATGCCCAGGGACAGACTGAACAACTGGACCAGCAGAATGGCCTCGTCACGGTGCAGGGCGACTACCTACTGGGAGTCGGAAAGGCCGATATCACTGGGTAAGGACCATGCAGATATGTGCCAATGGAGCACATGCTAACCTCAACTTATTCAGGCCGGTCGTCGAGATCAACTTGATGGGCTACGCTGATACAGATCAGGTGGGAAGTGGTGTCCGTCAACGGATCTATTGCCGGGCCTTCATCGTGGGCAGCCTTTCAAGAAACTCCTCACGGCTTGTCTACCTTGTCCTTGATACCCAGTCTGGCGACACGGCCATTCGTCATGGCATCCTGCAAAGGCTTGAGAAGCTGGGCCCGGAATATGCAATATACAACAAGAACAATGTCGCAGTTACAGGGACCCACAGTCACAGTGGACCTGGGGCATGGTTGAACTACCTGTTGCCACAAATCACTAGCCTAGGCTTCCACAGAGAGAGCTACGAGGCCATCGTCAACGGCTCGGTGTTAGCCATCCAACGCGCACATGACAGCCTCACGCCCGGCTATCTCAGATTTGGGCAACACCTCGTTGAGGGTGCGAACATAAATCGAAGTCCGTATTCCTATCTCCAGAATCCGAAGGACGAGCGAGACAAGTACACCCATGATGTGGACAAGAATTTGACGCTGCTGAAGTTTGAGCGAGCGTCTGATGGCCAAGCACTGGGTGCTCTCTCTTGGTTTCCAGTGCATGGGACATCTCTATATCAAAACAACACACTTATTACTGGTGATAACAAAGGAGTTGCAGCATATCTCCTGGAAGAGCACATGAAAGTCAAGAACCCGTCTTTTGTCGCAGGCTTCTCTCAAGCCAATGTCGGAGACACTTCCCCCAACACTCTCGGCGCATTCTGCGAAGACACCGGTCTTCCATGCGCTTTTAAAGATAGCACATGCGGAGGTCGAACGCAGGCCTGCCACGGACGAGGTCCAATGTTCCGCACAGACGACCAGGGAACTAGATCCTGCTTCGAGATCGGCAAACGTCAAATGGCAGCCGCCAGAAGCCTCTTAGAAGACCACAATTTAGACCGGATACCTGCGTCAACCGTTTCCTTTTTTCACACCTACGCCAATCTCTCGTCATTTACCTTCACCTCATTCTCCAACAAATCCCGCACCCTCAAGACTTGTTCTGCCGCGTTGGGTTATGGCTTTGCAGGTGGTACAACTGATGGGCCCGGGCGTTTCGATTTCTCCCAAGGCACAAATGACACCAACGGCTCCCCTGCTCTGAAAAACCCGCTCTGGAAGGTCGCAAGAGGGGCAATCCATCCCCCAACAGACGCCCAGATCGCATGTCAAAGTCCAAAGCCCATCCTCCTTGACGTTGGGGAGGCCGATGATCCGTACGCATGGACGCCAAACATTGTTGACATTCAACTCCTTCGAGTTGGCGATCTGATAATGATAATATCGCCTGGGGAAGCGACAACCATGTCTGGTCGCCGATGGAAGTCGGCACTTACTGCTGCGGCTCCCGACATCCTCAATATCTCGTCTCCGAGACTCGTTCTTGGTGGACCGGCAAACACATACGCCCACTACATCTCTACCGAGGAAGAATATGGTGTCCAACGCTACGAAGGAGCATCCACACTCTATGGTCCACATACCTTGGAAGCGTACATCAACCTCACCATCACGTACCTCCCTTACTTGGGTTCTGAAGACGAGACCTCCCATCTGGACCGTCTTCCAGCCGGTCCGCTTCCGCCTATCAACGTGAACCGCTCGTTGTCATTCATTCGACCTGTGATTGTGGACCACGCTGGCCTCCTGCGCAGGTTTGGGGACACGCTTGCCTCCCCTAACCCCGCGAAACCATTCCGCCCCGGCGACGTTGTCAGCGCAAGGTTTGCAGGCGCAAACCCGCGTAATAACTTCCGCCTCGAAGGCACGTTCGCCGCCGTGGACAGATTCGACGAGAGCCGCAAGGAATGGGTTCAGGTGCGCTCCGACAGCGACTGGTTCCTGGTGTACCGGTGGAAACGCACCTCCACTACACTGGGGACGAGTGAGGTGACTTTGGAATGGGAGATTGAGCCGGGCACCGACTCTGGGATGTACAGGTTCAAGTACTACGGCGACAGCAAGTCGCTGACCGGTCAAATTACGGAGTTTGAGGGCACGAGTGGCGTTTTCCACGTCGTTGGTGACGACGTTGTTGATGTTTTGAGCGACGCTCGCTTGGACGAGCTTGTCCGCACTTGAGAGTGAAATGAGAAATGAGTCACCATGATAAATCAAACAAACGATTTTTTTTGTTCGTTTCTGCTTTTGTTCCCCTTTGGTTGTAGGCCTAATAGCCTACATGGCCAGGCGGCTGTTTTGCCTGGCGTCTCTCGTTTGCTTGAGAGATCTCGTGCCCTTGTGTCTCTGACACCACCTCCCTCCCATGTCCCCCTGCCCCTCCTCCCCTCCGTCCCAGTCCCAATCTCCTGACACGTGCATGATAGCACTGTCCTCCCTCCCTCCCTCCCTCCCTGCCTCCCTGCCTCCCTGCCTCCCATCCACCCTGCCTCCCTCCGCTCCCCCCTGGATCCCCCCGACCCTGACGACTAGGGTCACGCGCGTACCAACTACCGTGCTTCCCCCTTACGGGCTGGCAGCGGCAGCGGCAGCGGCCCTCTTGTCGTTGTGCCGTCTCAACTCCTCGGGCGTGACTGGCGGTAAGACGACCCGGATGCCGTGGGTCTTTTGGAAGTGACGTGGGAACGCCCCTTTCCCGGTCTTGATGCCCTTGTGGTCTGTGCACAAAAGGCACTTCCACGGGAGAGGGTCGCCTCTCACATACTCCCCCCACACGAAGCAATCCTGGTCGTCGTGGCCCTGAAAGTTTGAGAAATTTTCATTCTCAACTTTCATGACCCTTAGGCCGGTCAAGCCGTGGCGCTCGCGGAGATGGGCCTGGAGCTTGCCTTTCTCCATGGCGACAAAGTTGTCGCACATGAGGCAGCTCCAGGGCCTCCGCAGCCCGTGCTCGTACCGGCCAAACCCTGTCACCTGGCCACCGGTGAACGTCGACCAAATGGTGACGTTCGGGCCGTCCTTGCCAACGAGAATGGTTGGCACCACCTCTTCGGCGTCGTTGCCGTTGCCATCGGCAACGTCACCAGCCGAGGTGGCGTCCACCATCTCGGTATCGCCCGAGTCTGTTTCGACCTGCACCTGATCTCCGTCAGTGATATTGCTATGATGTGGGTTGAGACGGGCACCTACTTCAGGGTCATTCTCCTCCATGGTGCCTGTCATTCCAGGCGATCCAAGTTGAGGATCGGGGAGATTGCCCAAGTCAAAAGACTCGGGCTGATGATGTTGGGGAGGGTACGGTTCAAAAGGTTCAAGTGGAGGATAGACCGAATTTCTCGGTCCAATAAAATCCGGATGATCCTCCGGATTATTGCTGATGTGGTTTGTTGAAGAGGAAGAAGGATCGTCGAGTTGAGAGAGAAGAAAGATATCGAGTGGCGAGAGAAACATGGAGCCCGGCAGAGGAGGTAAAATCTCATCTTGGCTGGGTTGCGGTGAATGTGGTGGTGCGGTACAATCCTGCACTTGGCGGTGGTTGTGTCCATCGTTGTTATTCTGCGCCATTCTGTCGACGGTGAAGTGTGTGAAGTGTGTGAATAGGAAGTTTGTGAAGTTTATTGCCGAGTTGAATTTCAAGAAACCCGTGATTTGTCTCACTGTTCAGTGTGTCGACTTGGTCTTTTGCTGAGCTGTGTCGTGCAGGTCTACCTCAACTTCCAGAAGCGAGGCCACCTGGAAAGGAGAAGGGTCACTTTGCTGTTGCTGGGATGTCGCAGAGGGTTGCAATGCTGGGTAAGGAATGGCAAGGTAAGACCCTGCAAAGCGTGCACGCCAACACTGACTCTGTCGTCGACTGACTTTGTATGAGAACAAGACGTTGTATAAGTCTGGGCAGATGTCGTCCCACGATGTGAACAATAGAGTCAAAGCTTGGATAAAGAAAAGAGCTGATCAACAAGAAGCGGATGCGGTAAGCTTGGTCCTGGAAGGTGTGAGTGTGGATGATCAAGTTTTCCAAGTGCGCAGGGACTGATCAAAAGTTTTTGTGCTCGGCGAAAGAAAGGGGGAGCGCTGGACCACTGCGGCAGTCACATACTGGGGAGCGTTCAATCCTTGACGGCGATGAGGTGAGACGTTTCTAGCTGATCGGATCGACACATGCGCGGCGCGGCGTCGAACGCATTGAGCAGCCATCCCGGCAGTGGAATATCCCAAGACCAAGTATAGGTCGTATGCGCGAGACAGCCGTGCATATTTGCACCTCCTATACTCTTCAACTATTGCATGAGGGATCTGGGAAGCTGGTGAGTTGAATGGTTCAAGAGATAGCAACAGATCCAGGAGTGACGACAGGATACATCTTATCAAGCAGCTCGACTACTGGTCGACAATCTTGTTGCTAAGCGGCCCATGCTCCAAGCGTTTCAGGCACAATTCTCAAGTCTTCTTCCAGCGGACACGTCGGACCCATTGGGCCCACTTCTGGACATCGTCTCTCTGACATATGAGTTCAACAGTATACCATTCTCGGGCAAGCTCTTCGTTGGAGGCCATCTGATGGACGAAGTTGTGGCAGGCTCGACACAGCCATGCCACGCTGTTCAACAGTCGTTCCTCATGCCAATTTCTCTTGAGTACTTTGGCATGGATTTGCTTTGGTATCAGATGATGGTAGGTCAATGGAACCCAGTCTCTTTCGCAAATCTCGCAAAACCTTGTCCTCGTTTCTGACCATTTTGGCGGCGGCGTTGTTACCGCAGGAATGTAGCCAGAAAACACCGGAGCCATGAACGACTGGATGTCGGTCGTGGGTGGTCTGATCAGCCCGTACGCCACGAGACTGTCGCTGATGTCTCCTGGAAGATGAGCACAGAGCTCTTCAAGGACGGTCATAGTCAACGGAAGGGACCATTTGTCTGCGTGCACATCGTTATTCTGAAGCGCATGATTGGAGAGTTTCCGGAATGGCTCCGGCAAACTCTCGAAGATATCAGCGGCCAGATAATCCGAGAAGTCGGCCAGCTCAGAGGGATCAGACTTAGGTGGTTCCGGTTGGTTCTGTCGGGCTTTCTTGCCTATGGAGGGACGTGTGGACGCTTTCCTGGTTCCATCAGTGAGCTTGTCCACCACATGTGAGAACAGACAGTCTCTGAAAGCATCAAAGTTGCCATGATCATTGTCTGTCATTGGGATTGAGGTATTGCAATTGAGCTCTGAGGCATTCTTCACGAGGGGCACAAGAGGGCAACCCAAGATGACGTTCAAGCAATCTCTCCACCCAGGCAGCATCCGGAAAGTTTGGCGCGATCCTACGACGCGAAGGCACGTGGACAACTACTGGCTCATCCACGTGACACATTGTACTAATGCACTTCGTATCTCGTATAAAGTGAAGCAAGGGGTCAAGGGTCCATGCGCAATATCTTTTTAGATCGTATCAATTATGTCTGCTTGTAGCTCTTGAGGAGAAGATGTCCATTTATGCTGGGGATCGCCAGAAGCCAATTTATGACGGTAAGAACATCCATACAGTGCGGCAACAGTCCGTTGTCTGCATCACTCACAGGCCATGCCATATCCCGCCAGCACCAAAAAGGCAATTAAGCCTTGGTTGAAGCTCACTTTTCGTCCATCGACGTGAATAGCTGGGACGCTATTCTCCGGCCGCATTAGTCCCAGCTACGTCGTCAAGACAACCCTCATTGAATGTCATCAATCATTACAGGATGGACAAAGGTCGGTCCTCAAACATGGTCACCAGAAGCCATTTGTCCGGACAAACCTCTCCTGGTGTTCCTTCAGACTGGCCCAGTGAACCAGCTCCTCGTCCTCAATCTCCTCGGGTGTCCGTAACATGCCAGCGTTTGCATCCGCGACACCCCTGAATCGGCCAGGACCTAAGCGTTCCAATTTGGAGAGGATGTCAAGAAATACGTGAAGATAAGCATTCACGCTCTCAGAGTCGAGTGTGGGCATGACGCTCATTCTGGCGCGTTTAGTCTCGAGTAGAGTCGATGCGACGGTCCGGATCTTGTTGCACTATTTCCAGTCAGTAGAATTCCTGCAGGGAAGGAAACCGATGACTTACAAAGCTCATTCCGTTGGGCTCCATGTTCACCTGGTTGATGCTCTTAAGAAGTAGAGCCATGTCCCTTACAATGTCTTCTCGTTCGACAGCCATCATCTGTTCTCCTGTATCCATCATGCTGTCACTAGGTGTGCGACCTACAATCTGTCGATAGCTGTGTTCCATGCCGGTCGTCACGATCCCTGCCGTGGGGGACGAGCTTGCGACTGACTTATCTGACGGAAACGTCGATTTATCGCGGTCCACTATCTCGTAGAGGTTCCAAAATCTCTCCACCAGATATGATCTCGACGATAGCTGCGTGGCGTATACATTGGCTTTCTGGATCTCAAACTGAATTGCTCTCTTGGATGGCATGGAAAAAGACGCACGGGCACTCACTGGCGTCGTGTGCAGATCGGCCTCGCCTTCCTCGCGATCATTGAAAAGGTGGGAATATGCTGATATATCGGCTTGGGTAGGAGGCCACTCACCGAATCCATTGGCCGGGTTGAGCTGCAATTCCTTCGGTGCATCTCGCGTAGCATCCTTGACATGTTGAAGAGCGCGGCGAATGATTTGCCGTTGACGATCCCAGTCATAGATGTTGTTTGCTCCAAATGCCATTTCCAGGGCAGCCAGAAAGTGAAAAGCTCGGAAAACTTTGACGTTGAGGTTGAAGCCGACCATTTCAGACACGACCCCTCGGGGTTGCGGAAATATCTGCGTTTCAGTAATGTACTCATCATCTACCTCAACCGGGAGTGGTGGAAGCATCTCCGCATGGGACACAGGAGGCATGAGCAAGTCACCCTCGGCCTCGTCAAGTTGTCGAGCAGACATTGCGCCCACAAACAACAGCCAGAACAGCCGCCGACCGGACTCCTGATAAATGTAGTCAACAAGTGGGGTCCGAGGCATGTCGGCAGGGCCATACGCTGCTGCCGGTGTTGCACCTGGCCTGTGAATTTCTGGCCGATGGAACTGCAACTCCCGCATGATTATGGTGCATTCACCGAGATAGAGTCGCATGCGTGCGATATCTAGGACATAACCAGCGGCCAACCCTGTTAGATAGCTCGCAATCGCGTCGTACAGGTTCATCGGGCGATCCATATACCCGAGGCCGCGAGCTTCGACGAAGACTTGATGACACCGATCGATCAGACTTCCTGCGTTTGGGAATTGCGACTTTCCTGGCTCTGTGACAAAGAGTTGTCGGGGTCGTCTTGGAAAACTAGCCACAAGGCATTCAACCATGGCAGCAATGAGTGCCAGGAAGTTGTGATTTGTTCTGTCCTCCCTGGCTTCAAATGATCGTCGGAATGTGGGTTCGTGTGGGAGAGGTATCAGCGGATGGATATAAGTGAAATAATCGTCCAAAAGGATCTTCAAGGCTGGGAGGTCACATATTGACTCGGCGGACAGCGGAGTCGGCGCGGCGAGGGCAGCCAGGCTGTAGGCGGCATCATGAGTTGGAGAGCTTCTTGAACCGTCAAAGTTAGCACCCTCGAGTTTCTGTCTCTTGATGGCTTCGGCGTGTCTGTTGGGCGGGCCACGCCGTCGACTCGGCCGGTCGAAGGTGCAGGGAATGTCGAGAGCGGCGCATGATTTGCAAGGAGGACCAGTTTCGTCGCACTTAGGGTATTCATCAGCGCGTGACCTATAAAGACTGGGAGGAAAGAGGGTATCGGCGCAGACATACCTTGACCTTGCGCACACTGCAACTATCACAGGCTTTCCTGAGACGGACTTTGGGTTCTGAAGAACCTGACGACTGTGGTTTCGAGGTTTCTCTGGGTTGCGGTTCTGGTTCGGATCGCGCTACAGGGAGAGGGACTTCGAACTGATTTGTTGGGTACCCCGAGGGGATCTGGTATGCGGTGGGATCTTCGTATTTATAGGCGTTGCTCGCGTCCTGCGACTGAGATGACGAGTAAGGGCCTTGCGGAGAGATGGAAGCCATTGAGAATAAATTCCTATCTTGCAGTCTCGGTGTTGAGCAAAGCAGAATCCACGGGTGAATGTCGGCACATAGTATGGAGTCGTTGGCACAAGGTTCCCTGGGGGTTTTTGAGATGTCGGCGAGGTCGGAAGTAGGAGCAGGTGGACTACTACTACATACCGAGATGGCTGGTGGTGGGAGCGCGACATGCGTAGGCCAGAGGTGGAGAATTTAGTTGATCCAGAGAACCGAGGGTCAATAATAATCACCACTTGGCCCAGATCACGGCGGACCCTGTCACTTCCACCGCCACTGGGCTTCTCTCGGCCAGAGTTCCTTCACTCGTAGTCGCCTGTGACTGATTGCGGGGGAAGCAGCCTAAACTTTGGGGAATCGCGGCGGTGGTGAAGGGCTTGTCTTTCGGAATGAGAATTTGCGGTGCTGACAGATTCATGTCAGGTGTGAGAGGCGCTCACAGTTACAAGACTGAACAATAATCACTGAAGAAAGGAGGAGGAGGAGGAATGCTTCTTGTAGGGAGAACAGAGTTGG